TTGTTGCTGCTATGAATTCAGCCTCTGCAATAGATTGTGCTACAATCTCTTGCTTCTTTGTGCACCATGAGAAAACCCCTGAACCTAGGTTGAACCATAAGTGTTTTTCATGTCATCATAAGATCCAGCCCAATCACTATTAGAAAATCCACACAACTTGAAATTTGTACACTTTTCAAATTTGACACCATAATCAATAGTGTCTTTCACATACCTCAATATTCTTTTTGCTGCTCTTAAATGAATTTCACTAGCACAATGCATAAATCGAGATAAGAGACTTACAGCAAATATAATATCTGACCTTGTTGCAGTGAGGTACATTAGACATCCAATCAAGCTCCTATAATGTCTTTCATCAACTTTATCAATACCATCTTCTTTGATGAACGTCTCCCTTTGATTCATCCATTTGAAATTTCTTCAATATTTCCTTTGCATATTTTCTTTGGCTAATGAACACTTCATTTTCACCTTGTTTGATCTCAATTCCAAGAAAATACGTCATGAGACCAAGATCTGTCATTTCAAATGCTTGCATCATTTCTTGCTTGAATTCATCAACCAACATTGTGTAATCTCCAGTTACTAAAAGATCATCAACGTATAGTAAAACTATAATAAAACTATTTCCCTTATCTTTCACATAAAGAGTGGATTCAAATAAGCTTTTTGTAAAGCTTATGCTTAATAGGTGATCATTTATTCTACTGTACCAGGCCCTTGGAGCTTGCTTTAAGCCATATAAGACCTTTTTTAGTAAATAAACTTTATCTTCTTCACCATGCTTCACGAATCCCTCCGATTGCTCCACATATATTTCTTCTTCTAGAACTCCGTTTAAAAACGCTGATTTGACATCCAACTGTAATATTTTCTAGCCCTTTTGCGCAGCTATAGTTAACACCAATCTAATTGTATCTAATCTAGACACTGGAGCAAAAGTGTCAGAATAATCAACACCAAAGATTTGTGCGTACCCTTTAACCACGAGTCTGGCCTTGTATTTGTTGATTGAGCTATCTGCATTAAGCTTTGTTTTGAAAACTCATTTGACTCCAATGAGTTTTCTATTTTCAATGACTTTTCTATTTTCAGGCTTGTTAACCAACTCCCACGTTTTGTTTTTTTTTTTAATCATAAACATCTCCTCCTCCATTGCATTTTTTTCATTTTGGGAGTCTTAGTGCTTCCTTATAGCTAGCAGGTTCACAGATTACTACATTACATCTTTGATAGATGTCAGCCAATAGCCTAGTTCCTCTGATTGGAGGATCATCTTCCAATTCATCTTGCGACAGTTTTGTGGTTTGTTCTCCATGATGATTATCTTCTATAATTGGAAAGAATTCTATTGTGCTTTATGAGTTCTTCCAATCCCATTTCTGACCTTCATTGAAATGTACGTCTCTAGTGATAGTCATCTTTCCGGTTTGAGGATGATACACTTTGTAGGCTTTTGAAACAGAACTCACAAAGATGCCTGGAGTAGCCTTCTTGTCAAATTTATCACGCATAACTTGAGGAACATATACAAAACAGACACAATCAAATACTTTAAGGAAGGTTAGAGAAGGTTTATACTCATACCAAGCCTCAAATGGAGTTTTATCTTTCAAGGCTTTGGTTGGAAGCCGATATTGCAAGAAAACTGTTGTGTTAGCTGCTTCTGCCCAAAATGTTTTAGGCAACTCCTTCTCATGCAACATACATCTAGTCATCTCCATCACAGATCTATTTCTCCTTTCACTTACCCCATTTTGTTGAGGATTGTAAGGAGCTGTCAATTGATGTCCAATTCCTACTTCTTCACAAAATATATTAAATTTTTTTTATGTATACTCCTTCCCATTGTCTGATCTTAGTAATTGAATCTTGTAGCCACTTTGAGTTTCCACCATTTTCTTGAATTTCATAAATACTCCAGCCACTTCATGCTTGAATTTCAAGAAAAAAATCCAGCACATTCTTGTAAAATCATCTATGAACAAAATAAAGTAAAGACTACCTTGTAATGATGGTGTTCTTTGAGTCCTGCTACATCAGTGTGAATTAGTTGCAACTTTTGAGAGGCTCTGATGATTTAGGAAAAGACTTTCTGTTTTGTTTACCAAATTGACAAGCATTACAATTTGAAAAATTTTCAAAAAGTGTTGGTACACCTGGTGACAAGTCGTTCTTCTGTATTTTCAACATTCTTTCAAGATGACAATAACCCAGTCTCTTGTGCCAGAGTTATGTGAGATTGGCTTGAGTGTAATAGGCTACATTTTTCTCCTCTGTTGGATCAAATGAGAAGCTTTAACCTTTCATTTTAACCCTTAGAACCTCCCAGCCAGCAATGCATAGATAAGACAGTGTTGATGTTCAAAGGACACTTTAAATCCCTTTTCCATCAACTGTCCTACACTTAGCAAATTTTGATCAATGTCAGGTACATAAAGAACATCGGAGATTAATTTTGTACGTGAGCTCGTTGAAATTGCTATGGTTCCTTTTCCCTTTGCAGAAATATAGCCACCATTCCCGATTTTGACCTTTAAGACTTTAGTAGACTTCAAGTCCTTAAATAGAGTTTTGTCATACAACATGTGGTTGGTACAACCACTATCAATCAACCAACATTCTGAGTTACTCTTTGCTAAAAAAGATGAAGCAGAGAAAATATGATCTTAGTCATCTTGCTCAACAACTTGGGCACTGGTTTCATGTTGAAATTTGCTTCCACAAATTACAGCTTCATGTCCAAGTTGATTACACATGCTTCACTTTGCGTTTGGTCACAATTTTCCACTGTGGGTAATTTTTCTTTCTACCCTTGCCTTTGTATGTAGTGTTTTCGCCACTTGTTTGTTTATTCTTCTTGAAGTTTTTCTTTCCATTGTGATGCTTTGTTGGTAATGCACCTTCCACCACTTGATCTTGTCTCATAAGCCTTTGTTGCTCTTGAGCCTGCAAGGCATGTAACACCTCTGCCAAGGTAATCTTGGACAAATCCTTTGTGTTTTCTAGGGTGGTTATGAATGCCTCATACCTTTCTGGCACAGTTACAAGAATTTTTTCAATTATTCTGCAATCCAAAACATTTGTGCCAAGTAATCTTACCTTGTTAACAATGCTAAGCAATCTGTTTGAGTACTCTTTAATGGTCTTAGACTCCTGCATCCTTTGGAGCTCAAATTCCCTCATCAAGTTCAACACTTGCATACCTCGAATCCTTTCATCTCCTGCATACTCCTTTAGATAATCCCATGGTTGCTGAAACACCAGCAAAGAGACATGACTTTGCCTTTGCTTTCCGGGTTTTCTTCTCCTTGTGACTTTTCATCTGGGTCATGGTGGGATTTTCTGGCAGCGGAAGTATTTCGTAATCTTCTTCAATGACTTCCCAAAGATCCAAAGCTTCTAGGTAAGCCCCCATTTTTACCGCCAAAGTTTTCCTCGTCAAAGACCGGAGGTACTACTTGGGAGAAATTTGATTTGACATCCATTTTTCACAGGCTAATAAGAAGATAGCTCTGATACCAAATTGTAGGAGTTAAAAAAAATAACTCAATAGGAGAAGAAGGGACAAAACAACTTAACATTGTAGGTTAAAAATTGATGTGAACATGAGTTCCATTTTTCATTGTAACAACAATACATTTATAATAATAATAATAAAAAAAATAATAATAATAATAAAAACTGACAGTAAACCACGTAGCTAAAATTTAGGATACATGAATAATAGAACAAAGTTGCTTCTAAAATCTAGGGACACCTATTGACTTAGTAAAAATGAAAAAAAAAAAAAAAAAAACTAACTGCAGTTACTAAAGTAATTGTTTAACAGGTTTGAAGAGTAAATCATTGACATTTTAAACAAAAAATTTTCATGTGCTAAGTTTAATGAGCTAAGAAGGAAGATGACAATCTTCAAGAAAAGTTTTAAGGAAGATTGTTAAATGAATAAGCTATAAAACACTTCTTTTTACTATTATTATTATGTTTGCTTATTCTAGCCAGTTCACTTGTATCAATACTTTTGGGCAGTCATGGATTTACTCTGATTTGGATAGATTTGTACTTTAAATATAGTGGGTACATGATATTTTATTGACAACATATATGGGTATGATGATGGGTTATCATTTCTGATGTATTTAGCCTTAAATATGATTCATTCAATAAATTAAAATATGATTTAGCATCAAATACAAACATTTTTTATATCTTTTTACCACTCTTCTCTTTTCATATTATGATTTTGTTTTAGTTTTTTTATGGTTAAAACTATCTTCATTTAATAACAATGACATGCCTAAGTTTTATTGATGAAAACAAAATATAAAGTTGTTCTATAGTTTTGTATGTTTGAAATTTGTTATATTTTGACATCTAAAATGTTGCATAACTGAAACAATGAGAGTCTTGGAAGAAAAGGAGTACACAAGATATATTATACATAATTAGAAAAAAAAAAAAAAAAAAAAGGTAGAGTAAAATGTTAAACCCCTAATGCTGCCCCTTTAATAATTTAAACCAAATGTGATTGTCAACTTTTCAACCCTTTATTCATCTAAAAATGTACATTTTGAACAATAGTAAATCACACATACGTCTAGATTTGGCAGAGTGAAAAAAAGAGGAAGAAGTTACCATCATGTCATGCCAGAAATATCCATTCAAATGGACACCAGCTGGTAAAACCCATGGATTGGATTTGTTTGTAAGACTCCTTTTCCACCAACTTATTAACTGGGGTAAGGGGCGGGAACTGAGGTAGCCATCTCACATATCCTCAATATGAGAATGCACTAAATTTACCTTTCGAAAATAGTTGTTTTGGTTTATGCGTTGATCAACTTCTCAATTTGTTGCATTTAGCATGTGCTTTAAAAATACCGAGCTTTTGATCATTTAGATTTTGATTGTTTCAAGTCATTCAAATTTTGTTTTATATATCCTCGGATATGCGTGCAAACTATTGGATTTTATTTTTTCAAAGAAAATATTACCTTTGTTAGTGAGGACTGTAGTTGATTCTTCAAACATTTCCTCCAAAGTTTGAGCTAAGGTTTCATAGGAACCATGAGCATTCAAATCAACCTTCCTTCCGATTGGTATTCCATCCATTTTTACTTTCACAAACAGGGAATTCCTGTGATTTCCATTTTCTTTGGAAACAGTGTTGTTACTATCACTGCCACCATCTGCACTCTTCCTAACCCCAGAACTACTGCTTGCTCTTTTGTCAACTGTAGAATTGAAAACTTCCGTAGCTGGTGACTTTGCATGGCTATTATAGTTGTTCATTCTATATGCTCCAAGGGGAGGCCATCCAACAACTTGACTGCATAAAAGAACCAGTCACAACTCACAACAGAAGTGATAATTCCATCAATAAAAATATGATAAGTCAAAGCAAGTATGAGACGTGATCCAATAATGAAGAATGTATTAACATTAAGATTAAGTTTTAATATCCGATGGTGAGTGAAATGAAATGGGATGTAGCAGAATGGAGTGAAGTAAAGTTACCATTTCATTGGACAGATAAAGGAAATAAATTAAGTGTGTTAGAGTGATTTCATCCTACAACACAAATTTAAGGGAAGGAAAAGGAGAAACATTGAATGAAAAGGATTAAAACACTTTCCATATCGAATTCTCATTTCCATTTAATCTCATTTTAAATATTTCAGACAATAAAAACCTATCTCATTCCACCTATTTCTTTCTATGAATAAAAAATAGCATTTAACACACTATTTTGTTCTCAGGATTTCCCCCCAACCCTAAATGTGGATGCCTCTTTTTCTTTTAGTCAAAAGGAAGAGTCAAACGATATCAAGATTTTACAACAACTCACATGTACCATTGAATCAAGTGAGTTATAAGACCCTTTGATAAATGTGGATAGCTCTGGCAACTTATTAGTACACCTGATTAAATAGAAGAAAAAAAAATCAAGAGAGTAATTTGGTATTAAGTTTATTTACCTGGGAGGGGTAGCAGGAAGAACAGAATCCGAATCAGAATCAGAATTAGAGGCAGAGGCAGGTCTCTTTGTCCCAGAAGTGAGAATAGTAGTCCTACTGAATGAGGAAGCTGTGGCATAGGGAGAGAGGGTCAAGGAGAGAGCCAATTCAAGATCAGATGAAGAATCCTGTGAAGAGTTATCATCTTTAGACATTGAAGCACACCTAGTGTGGTTACAAGTGTGTGAGAAGTGGAATACTGAAGATGGTGAGTGAATACGAAGAAGAAGATGATAATGGCGTGGTGAAGAAGGGTCTTAGACTCGTTACCGTGTGGCCCACATGTCTGTTTTGTTCATCATTCTTCCTGTGAAATTGAAGAAGAAGCGATAACACAAGACTTCTTGGAAGAAGTGGTTGCAACCAGCCACCGTGGTGAGGCCCGCATTAGCTCCAGATGACATTCCGACAAAGGCTCCTCAAAATACCTTGTTCCTGTCCTTTACCAAAAGTAAACATCAACATCGTTTTCATACAAATATAGTGCCACGTGTTACGCACATTTCTTGCCACCTGGGGTTTGTCCACATCCCAGGAGACCACTATCTACGCCATAACGTACACGTGGTAGAATATGACAATGTGCTTCAAATTCACTTTGCCACTAACTTTTTTATTTTTATTTTTAACCAAGATATTTTTCTTTGTTTTATCTACTATTTATTAACATGTAACATTTTTCATCTAACCTTTCCACTAAATCTAATTATGTATACATAGAACTTTTTTTTTATCAAACCTCCCCAAAATATCTGGTATATGGTGTGTTATCCAAATATATTGTATGTATAATAAGTAATGATAGAGGTTCAGTAAAAAAAGAAAAGAAAAGTAGTGATAGATATTTTCAAAAGGTTAAACAGTCTAAGAATAAAAAACAGAAAGAATATTAGAGGACTAAAAGAAATATTTACGCGATTCTCTTACGTATATGTCTCATAATTTATAAAAATTTGAAGAAATTAAACTTTTAATGTAACCAAATAATATTAAAATATAAGGACGAGTAAGACACGACATATTGCAATAAACATTTTAATATGTTTTTCCCGAATTCAAATGCAATTTTAGTACTTATTCTATGACAAAATTTTGAACTTTATAAAGTATCGTAAATATTAAAAAAATATTGATGCTAAAGAGGTATAAAAATTTAGTTTCCGATATGAGTTTTATAATTCAACAAAATTCGTTAACACTGTAGAAAAATAATAGAGATTATGTATTGATATACGAATAGTAAAAAAAAGACCAAATCAATATTTATACATCAATGGCAAAAGAAATTGTCAATTTAATATTTGTACAATTTAATCTCTAAATGTCTAGAGTCGCTCATTTTTTAGTCTCTTCGTCGTGGAATACAAAATTATAGGTACCTTATAACTAATATATTCATGGACTAAAAGGGAGTATTTTTAGACTTTGGAATACTGAGTTGTATGAAGACAAAAACCACTTGTCACTTTGACAGACTATATTGTGAGTTAACTCCTTTTGAAAATAAATGCACTATTAAACTGTAATTTTAATTTGTTCATACACTAGTTATCTAAAAAATTGAAGTATATTTTTATCCCTTACACATACACATCACATGAAATGTGGGATACCAAGTTTCTTAAAGTGAAAACACATTTTATCATAACAAATTATCACGTCTAACTATTCTTAACCATTATTACGAAGGGGTCACTGATATTTCTACCCGTGGTAGACACCCTCATGAAACTAACATAATTTGTTTAATATTTATAATGGCTGGATATGAAGACATGTTTGGGAACTTCAAAAGACGAAAGAAATGAATGAGAAGAGTGTGGAAGAAAATCATAGCTACATGCCTTTAGAAGAAGATATATATAATCATAAAACCAGTGTGCAACTTCGTATATGAAAACCCCGCAATTTAAACCCTGAAGAAAGAACTTACAAATGTTACCATTTCACTTTCGCAAGTGAGAATTATTTATTAAAATTTTAGCGTAGTTGGATTTAATTTAATTTGGCACGAGAAAAATAATTTAAACAACTGAGAAATTACAAACGTGAAAAATTAAAACTAAAATCACGCAAATACGATATAAAAACTGCAATTAAAAAAGTAATAATTCAGGCCGTGCGATCGAAAAATAAATAAGGTTTAGACTTAATAAAACTTAACAAATTGAACACTGTACAATATTATTAAAGGATAATATTCTTACATTGCTTTCATCAATATCACATTTGTTTATGTTGTCTCCGCCAATACTTCCATTGCCTGCCATTGCACAGACCAGTACCACCAGCCCTTCAAAGGATCCAAGCTTAACTATTTCAATGAGGCATTATCTCATGATACAATAAAACAAAGTCTGACAGTACACATAAAGTCTGTTTAAATATATATATATATATATATATATATATATATATATATATATATATATATATTTTTTTATTATTATTATTCTTTTTACAAACACTAATGAGACAAAAAATAAAATAAAATAAACTTCCTTCAAAAATTAAAATTAGTTTATTCATAAATTGAAAGTTAGACCGATAATATTTTGGAATTTTTATTCAGTTTTCTTTCTATTTTCTTCTCTTGTGTGTATAAAAATCTTTAAGCAACCAGACAGATAGTAAAGTAGACATGAAGATAAAGGCTTCCAATGAATAAAGTCGCAAAACAAAAACTACCACAGTGCTCACCTCAGTAGTAAAGAAAATTACAATCTCAAAAAAATAGCTCGTAAGATCAAAAAGAAAAGAACAATGCAAAATAAAGAAATTTACATCACTCCACAAGAAATATTTATTTTCAAAATAAAATAAGACGGTGGATAATATTATAACACGTTACCAAAGAATATTTGGAAATAAATTTATTCTGTCAAAGCCAAATATTGACGTCCACCTAGCCCAAAATCATATAAAAGATTTAATTATAAAAAAGACAAAATCTTGTTTTGAGATTAATTAAAGATTGCCAATTAAGCTTTTATTGATTGGAACTCAAATTTGCCTTTGAATTTTCCGATGGATGAGGTGTGCTCTCTGTGCAAGCAGTGCAAGAAAGAGTGTTGTCAGCGAGATTGATCCGCAATGTTTGGTTACTCTCCTCATTCCCAGGTACATGGAGGAGAGCATTCATGATCAAAATGTCCCAGTCACGAGGAAGGAAAAAGGAAGACCAAGTGTCCTCTGTTTCAAAGAAACCAAACCAATAATAATTTCCATTAGCTATCAAACTGGCCACGGTGTTCCGACTTTCCAAACTCTAGAGAACATATAAAGTCAGGTACAATTCACAAGCAAAAGAGTATAATATGTCAAAAGTAAACAAGCTGATCATGATAGTTATACAGACTAAAATGGTTAATTAGCAATTTGTCAAAAGGCTCTCATTCAAATCATAAAGATAGATATTCAAATTGCTAACCTCCATTTCGAACTGCCTTCAGCTGCAAGAAACCGGTGCCTTGCGGCCCAGAAACAGGAAATGAGCATGAAACTGAATGTCTTTTATGAGCTACTGCAAGAGATGCATTGTACCAAGGACCTTTAACAATGGGTTCTCCAATAGCATCTATTAGTGCTTTGTTCTTGATCGCCTTCTCCATTGCCTTGCTGAAAATTTTGCAGCTAATAACTTTAGGGGCTGCCATGGTGGGCAAGTTTTCCATTTTGAAATGTAAAGAATAAAAGTCGAGAAACATCTTAACTGATAAGTCATACGTATTAGTAACAGTCTCATAAATGTATTCGTGAAGCTAACAATCTAGTATCTAATTTGTAAAAGAAAAATAAAAATAAAAATAGGATTTACAAGGTGAGAGAGGGTGGTGAAGAATTTGAAAGTAGCAGATTTTTTTAATTGAAATTAGAGGCCTACACTCATTTTATATAGCAAGATATGGCCATTCACGAGGTAGCTATAATTGTAAATGCTGGAGTGTGGATGGAAAAGGACAAAAAAAGAACAAATATCTTAGAAGCTCCCCTTACTCCATGAGAACCTATTATATATAGCAACAGAACATAGAATTATCTCAGTCTTCTAGATCTGATCTGTGTGCACCACCTAAGTACCTCTGTTCTTTTCTATGAAAAATGAAAATTCCATGCAGAGTTATATTGAAACTAAAGATAACTACAAAATTTAGATGCTAAACTTGCCTTACGAATTGATACTGCACTAAATATACCATCACATTGATAGTTACTACTTTGTAGGAGGGATAAGAGAATGATGAAGTTTCAGTTAAACAAGGAAAAGTTTGGCCTCCTTGAGAAACAGATCCTTTCCATAGAAAATGAAGATGGGAAAGTCTACAATCCACATTATGTTAAAATGCACCTATTAATATTAATAGTTTTCTCAAGCCTGGCAAATGCATTCCCAAGATATTAACGTAAAACAAAATAACTAGCCATTATCATCTGTTAACACAAAATACCAAATTAGAGCTCAATATATATACCTGCTACATCCATGATAAATGACAAGGTCGTCAAGGGCACTCAGAGCAACACCACCTGTGATAGTAATCAAAACAAATGACACTGCCTTTTTACCATAGTATTTGCTGGTCTCTTCATCCACATTCTTCGTGGAACTGCAACAGTTTAAAAAATGGTAGTCATAACCATATTACAGTTAAATTATGATGTCAATTTCAACAAAGTAACAATAACAAGTACCATGTTTCTCACTTACAAAAGAAATTCAGCTGAAAAAAACAAGTATTGGCTAAAAATATACTTTTGATCCCTCATCAGAATTTTGTGTTTCAATTTACTCTGGTAAGTTTAAAATGTTTCACTTAAACACGTTAATATGATCAACTTGGTGATACGTGATACGCGAGAAACTTCGAGAGATGCTACTTCCAAACAAACCCAACACTGTAAATGCATAAAATAGACAGAAAGAACATTTTAGTCTAACAAACTAAAATCAAACTTTTTTTAACTTCAAATACCAAAAACCAACTATTCAGATGTGGAACCAAAGTTATATTTTTTGGCCGATTATTTTACTTCCTTTGCGTTAGACTTGTCTAGCTATAATCTGAATTTAACTAGCCTGATGCAAACTGTAAAATTCCTGATTTGAGTGACAGAATATAATTCCTTAGTTGAGCTATGATGCATGGAATTTTGAAGAGTGAAAAAATTTGAGGGCATAAATGAGTTTTTGAGTACACTCAAAATCCTCAATTATCGCAACCTTCGTCACACACACACAGGTGTATATATATAGAACTTATCAGTTGGCCTTTAATAGAAAGGCAGAACTCAAAGAACTTACAAATTTTGAAACTTGCCAACTAATTTACGAGTACCAAGAAACAACAATTGTATCCAAACATAGGGCAACAGTAAACACAAGGAGAACAATAACATGGAAATAGAAGAAGAGTCAGAGAGCTTACTTGGAAATCTGAGGTTTTGGGGAGAGTTTGAGGAATGAGCTTAACCTCTTGGCCAACATGATCAATCAACAAAACAAATGTAGTATAACGTTGTCAGTATCTTGCGATTTCGCGAGTTATGGACACGTACGACAATAAATTGCGATGTTGCGTGGTATGTGGACGAGAAAATAAAAAATCCGAGGTTTTATTTGGGAACAAAAATGGAGTGAAAGCTCAATTATGATAAACCCTAAACTTAGGGGAGGAGATTGGAGGAAGAGTATACCATTCGCTCTATTTTTTTTTTTCTTCTTCTTTCTCTCTGGTTTAATATCTTTTTATTTCGAAAATAATATTTTAATTATCAGACATTTATATAATTATACTATTTTTTAATCTAATAATTTAAAATAATATTTTATCTTGTGCAGAGGTGAATATAAAAATTAGATAAAAAATATATACATGAAACTTTTGCTTTTAAGATCCCAGGATACACCAATCTTTTTTATTTGAAAATAATTTATCATTTTATTTATTCAATCTGTAGTTAATTATGTTTTTGTCTTCATTTAATTCTTAAATATTTTGCACATTTATGACAGGAAAAATAATAATATGCTTCTTTAAATTTTTTTATGAAAAAAAAACTTATAAGACAATTATTTAATATTTGTTTACAATATATTTTTAAAAAGTAAAAAACAGAAAGAATAGGGTTTTTTTTTTCTTTACTTCTACTTTTGTACAATTGTATTTTTGTAAGCGCAAATAAATAACAAAGTTTAAAAAAAAAACTGTGAGTACGAGGATCATTTCTTTCTATTTTTCTTTTTTTTTAATTTAGAAGATGATATAAAAAATATAAATTGTTTTAATAATTGCATATCGTGACGTTTTTGTAGTAATGGGTAAAAGCATTTTTTTTTATTAGGGTCAAAAATATATATTAGTGACTAAAACCATCCTTTATCATTTTTTTTTTAATTAGTTAAATCACAATTAGACTCATTATTATTTGTTTATTACATAAAAAAGGAATTGAGAGAAATAATAACTAAGAAAAATGTGATTTATTTATCTATTTTTATATAGATAAAATTCTATTTTACAAATTATAAAAAAATAAAAGTGTTATAGTTAAAAGAATAATTTATATAATTTATATATTTAAAAAATAGTAAAAGTATGATAAAGAAATATAATATGTAATTAGTAAATAAAAAATGAATATATTAAAAGAATGGAAAAATAAAACAAAAAAAATTAAAATGATATTTTAAAAATTTTACTTATAAAAAAATATAAACATACACTTTAACAGTTATTAAAAATTTAATTTATTATTTATAATATGCAATTAACTTAAATTAACGTGTGTAATATTATTTAATAGAATTAAAAAAAAAAAGATAAATTCACAAAATTATAAATAAAGAGAAACAAAAATATGAATAAAGTTCATGCAAAAAATTAAAAATGTTCAATAAAAGAAAAATATCTACCTTATGATACTATTATTTAAGATAATATAAATAAAAACTATCAATTTATAAACAATTTAGTTTAAAAATACTTTTTTTACCTTGATATATATATTTATGATATGGAGAAAAATTTAAAATTTGTTGGAATAAGGAATTGATTTAAGAAATTGAAAAAGAAAAAAAAATAGTGAAAAATATAATTATTTTAATTAAAGGAAGGAGATAAAAAATGAAGAAACGAAAAATAAGTGAAATGATGATAAAAAATATGATTAAATAAAAAAATTAAAATAATAATTTAAAATATATAATGACTAAAATACATTTATATTCATAGATGATAAAATAAATATAAATTATAATTTAATTTAATTTAAATTAAGTAATTTATATATATAAAGTCATCAAATATATTAAAATTATTTTATATATAAAATATAAAAATAATTTATGATTATTTTAAAATTACTTATAATTATTCTAAAATATTTTTTAATTATAAATTATATAAAATTTTATTTCAAATACCAATTAAAAAATAAAATATAATAAAATTAGTTACATATTAAAAAGTTAAATTTATATTTAAATATAATTTTAATTTTATTATAATAAAAAAATATATAAAATCACGTATTATTATAATTATATATATATATATATATATTATTATTAACATTAATTCATATATAATAAATATAATAATACTTTTTAATATAATCAAATCTTTATATTATCTAATCGATTATATAGATTGATTTAATCGATTAGATCTCTTCAAATTTTCATATTTCACGTATTTTATTTTTAAATCTGTATTCAAAACATAATTACATGATTATATACATATATAAAATAATTAACATAAGTTTATATTTAAAATGAAAATTAAATATAAATAACTAAAAATAATACATAATAAGAAATAATATTATAAATTATAGATACAAAATTATAAAATAAAACCATATATATGATGGTAATATGGATAACAAACATAATATAAATAACTTTTTATGTATTTCTTTTCATATAAGCTAATGATAAAATATTTAAGTCCCACCATTTTTTTTCTTAAAATCATGTAAATAAATTTTGTGGTTTTAATAATAATAAAAAAATTACCAAATCAATTCTATTATTTTTATTTATTTAATCTTTATTTTGACAAAAATATTTATTTGGACAATATAAAAAGGTATTTAAAATAATTCATATTGTAAAATTGATTTTTTAGTGAAAGCTAACCAATTTAGAAGAGAAATATAAAGTTGAAGGAATATCATTTCATTTTTTTATTTTTTTTAATCCTTATATCTAAACCAATTCATATCACTTCCTTTTAAACAATATTCTCCTAAAACCAAACATAAATTTATCTCTAGAGTTTGATATTTTATTCTCAATTTTATTTATTAGATTGAATAAATTTTTATGAAATCTAGTATATTTTTCTCAACCATTTAAATGTATATAATATAAAAATGTGAAGAGGAAATCTAGTATATTTTTCTAATGTATATAATATAAAAATGTGAGAAGAGAAGTAAAAAAAAATTATATATTGATACTTACTTATATAAAATGAGTATATTGTTTACTTTTTAAATTACCTTAAAATCACTTTTTTTTCTATCGAGTGATTCACTTTTTCTTTTTTTATTAGTATATTATATAGTAGTTATATTATTTTGTTTATTAGAAAAAATATTATTATTTTTTACTTAGATTTAAAGAGAGGTATTATAATTTTTTTCATTATTACCTATTGTTGATTTTATTCCTCTTTTCTCATCTTTTATTTTACTTAGGGATGACAAAACGGGTCAGTCTGCAGGTCGGCCGCTGATCCACCAAAATATGGCGGGCGAGTTGGTGTTTTCAAGCCACCAGCCCGCTTTGGCTCGTCCCGCCAAGCCCGTTAACCTGCGGGACGGGGCGGGCCAGCCCGCGACTCGCCTAATTAATAAAAAATATTTTTTTATTGTAATAAAGTTAATTATAAAGATAATATATAAAGTTAAAAATTTTAAAAAGAGAATTAAAAAAGTTTCACTCTTACAAAAAATATTCTCCTTACTTAAACACAACTTTCTCTCTCATGTTCTCCTTGTTCATCCTAAGCATCGATTGTTTTTATCCTTATGACTTGAATTAAAGGTGTAAGAATTACTCAACCAAGAATAATGTGAAGTTTTATCAAATAAAAAGATATAGGTATTTGAATTTTTCAATATAAAAAATATAAATTTTATAAGTTTTAACGTTATATATATATATATATATATATATTTGTTATTATTTATTATTATGTAAATTTTATTATTTTTCTAAATTATAATTTCTTAAAACAATGTATTGATTTATATTATTAAATTGAATTATTGACAAACAAATAATAATCTTATTATTAAATTTATTAAAATTTTTTATTTTAAAAAATAAAATATGTTTTTCTAAATTATGGCGGTCAGCTCGCCAACCTGCTCCTTGATCGAGGCGGGCCAAAGTCTATAGCTCGTCATGACTATAACGGGCCAGCCCGCCCCACTTTTGACGGGACAAAGGCGGGACGCCCAAAACGGGACGGACTGTCCTGTTTTGTCATCCCTAATTTTACTTGACAATGGTATCATAGCCAAGTTGATTACTTGGTCACTTAGTTGTATTATTATTTTGTTAGTATAATCATTAGAATGATGTTGAAGAAAATCCATAGTATGTTATGTGATTGCACTTAATATGATCTTCCACATCAGGAAAAAATTACTCTAGTTACTGGATATAGAATGTGGTAGTGTGACAATGCATGTCTAGGACAATTTTTGACAAGAAAATACTTGATATTTAAGCGTGTTTATTTGTTATTCACCTCTCTTTCCTAAGAGTTTACCTGATATATTAATTATTGTCTATGTCATTGTTTCAGTAAACAATATTATTCATAGTAAAAGGTGCATAAGTCGATTAAAACAATGATAGTAAAATATGAGATAGAAATGTTCAATAGGAATAATTTCTTATTATGGAAATTGAATGCGAAGTCAATCTTGGGAAAAGACAATTGTATAATGCAATTGGAGAAAGACTCGTGAGCATTACTGAAGGTGAAAAAAAATTAACAACAATGTTATAGCAAATTTACACTTAGCATTGGTAGATGCGGTTATGTCCACACATTATGAAGGAGGATACAACGAGGGAGATTTTGGAGTCCCTCATCAAATTGTATGAGGTTAAATTACTTCACACAATAAAAACTTTATACCTTTCAAATTAGTGAGTCTACATGAGTGACAGATCACATAAACAAATTAAATATATTATTTGTCCAACTTTCAATGACAAATTTTAACATAGTTGAAAATGAACATGTACAACTTCTACTTCAAAAGTTTTACCAGATTTGTATGATCAAATCGTCATCAATATAACAAATAATAATATTAATGAATATTTACACTTTAAGAATATTGTCGAAGTTATTCTTAAAGAAGAATTTAGGGGGAAAGTAAAATGAAAAGTCTAAACCAAGAAGAAACTTTAACGATAATGAGAGAAAGATCAACATAATATGACTTTAGTGAAAG